TGAAGAAGGGATGAGAGGCCACCTTTCAGGGGGAGAGGAGTGATGTTCACGGAGAGGCATCACCTGCTTTCCCTCCTCACAGGTGATGGAAGGGGGTCCCCACAGCAACCGCTCGTAAAGTTGGGGGCTGTGCACGACTGCGTGTTGTCCCAGCATGAGGGCTTGCCGACCTGTCCTGTTGCCATCAGGGCAGGATGAAGGGAGGTGTGGACACTACACTGGTGAGCTGAGGCTGTGGAGGAGGGAGGCCAAGACAGCCCTGGGAAGTGACCTGTCACACAGCAGTGGGAATAAGGGCCCTGATCATACTCCAGGTCCAGAGTTCAGGCAAGGGGGGACTATGAAGATGAGGCTGTGGGTTTCTCAGGGCCTGACAGTGCAGGGCAATTAAGCCCATGGCTGGCCACTGAGGCTCTGTTGAAATTGCGGCTGCCTCTCCCAAAGGAGCCCTGGCGTTGAAGGGAGCTCCCTGGGTTCGAATCCTCTTTCAAATGGGCTTCTTGGGGCCTACCAACCTCCACATCAGCACTTTATGGAAGGTAGAGCAGTAGTGGTGGCCAGTGGTGGCAGCAAGCTGAGCCACAGGCAGTCTGGAAAACAAGCCTTACCTGGAGCCGAGCACAGGCAGGGAAGAGGTAGGGGTAGGAGACAGCAGACCATGCTTCCCCTCCACTCCAGGCCCCCAGAGCCACACATCCACCTGTCCTCCTGGGGGGTGAATGGAATGTGAGGCTAAGTTCTTAAAGTGTCAGAACTGGGACTTAATAAGGGAGGCAAAGCTGTTTTAATAAGTAAAAATGACTCAAAGATTTAAGGAATTGACTGAGAAGTCATTAAGGGAGTAGATACCCAGCAGGAAAGGTTTCCAAAGAGTGGAGTGGTAGCAAATATTGGAAAACAGAAGCTGTCTTGTATTTATATGGCCAAGGATGAGACTTCTCAATGAAACTCATTTCTTCTTGAGCCCCATGTGGGACTGACACTGGGTGGTACATACACTGGATTCTCACAACGTCTCTGCCAAGCAGGCTGTCACCGTCCTGTTTCACAGCCACAGAAGCACTGGGGTTTAGAGTGATGCTTGACTTGCTAACCTGGTAAGTCTAGCAAGCAGCTGGGCCAGGATGCAAACACATTACCTGTTCTTTCCACTAAGCCAACCTGCTCTCTGTAGCTGTTGAAGCACTGGGGTTTAGAGTGATGCTTGACTTGCTAACCTGGTAAGTCTAGCAAGCAGCTGGGTCAGGATGCAAACACATTACCTGTTCTTTCCACTAAGCCAACCTGCTCTCTGTAGCTGTTATATGCAGAGGACTTCACAGAGTCCAGTCCATACTAACCCACTCAGCGACATGGCCTTGCTTTAAACTTGACTACATCTGTTTGACATATGGAATGCAATTAACCATCTTCCTCAGTGTTCATTTTCCTGGGGAGCAAAGGACGCCATGGAGGCTGGGACCAAGTCCGAGCGAGTGCCTCCCAATATGCATTTAGACCCTTCCTCACCCCAGCACAGTCTTCATTCTGTACCTCTCCTCTCCAGTCACTGTCTCGGTGATTTTTTCAGGATTGATCTGCCGCTATCATCTGAGAAAATGATTGACAGTGATAGGATCTTTCAAGAGTGACATTGACAGGTGCAGTTGCAATGTCAAAACCTCACCCCCAAAGTCCTGCTAAGAGGAACATCTCCTCTGTAGTGCTGCGTTGTAACGTCTCATCACATGCATGCAACTTGAGCTCAGCAATGATGGTTTCAGAAACAGTGGAAAAAACTGTCATTTTCTTTTTTAAACTTTATCGACTACTGATTCTACTATGAAAATATGGTTGCCTCAATACAGAATAATTCCTCAAAGAAACTAAAGTGTAGGACGGAGGATGAGAAAGGAGGAGCTGTAAACTGAGGGGTGTGAAGTGGGGGACGGGCTTTCCACCTCCATCTCACTGGGAAGACTTTCGGTTGCACCTGCGTGTGGCGGTCCAGTCCTCAGAGGCACGCAGAGAGGCCTCGTAAGAAAACGTTTCCTTTCCAGAGGAGACTGAGGCTCCTGCCATAGGAGTTTGAGTCCCTGGCTCTGTTTTCTATAAAGCTGGTCAATCAAATTCATGCATTTGTCACTCTGCCTTTATGTCCCAAGTTAGTTGTCCCCTTTATTTCACCCTTTATTTTCTTATGAGGAATGGAGAAGTGAGATTCTGGAAGATCTGAGATGCCCTCCTTTGGGGAATCCCATAGATACATGTTCGTATATTTCATAGCTGGAAATACTAGAACTCAGGAAGGTTAAGATACTTTTCAAAGGCTTTCTGGAAAGCAAGCCAGTCTCTGCCCTATGCATTAACTGTAAACCCTTCTCTGAGAATTACAGAAGCAGCTCTATCGCAATATTTCCTTCAGTTACAAAGCCTAAAAGAAAAAAAGCTCTTTGTAAAGTGGATGTGTGAGTTGTTCTGAATCCACCTTACGGGCCACAGAAAAAGCCTGCTTTTATTTTGCTTGAGCCAAATGCTTGGGTGCATGACTAACCCTTTCACAAAGTCTGGGAGAGGGGTCAAGTTGGATTTTGGGATCTGGATCAAGATGAGCCAAGTGTGTGTGTATTTCAAGGCCCTGAAGGCCTGTGGTAGCTGATAGGGCATCGGGAAGAGATGGCATTTGTGGTCTAACCTAAGCTGTCTATTCTCCCTGAGTTGTTTGAACAGCATGTGTGAACAGATCTCTCATGGACTCACTGAAATACTGAAAGGTGAATCTCTTAACTCCAGATAAATATGTCTTTGTGAGGTTGAGATAACATGAGAGTGAGTTTTCCTGAAGTTGACCACCTTTAGGAAGGAAAAGGCAGAAACGGAAGAGAAATTGGACTGTTGACAAAAACAAGTGAAATTTGGGACTGAAAGCACTCACCCCTACTTCCTTCTTGTGCCTCCATCTGAATTTCCAGTGCAGACGAAGCCAAGCTCTTGGGAGGAACCACTAACCACCTGTTTTGCTGCTTCAGCATCTTTTCACGTCAGCACTGATAATGTTGAAATTGCATTTTCGTGGGATTTTTATGCCAGAGAGGATAAATCATGTTGCTTTGCAAAAAAATAAACCATCACATAAATAACAGGCCTAGGCTAAAAAAGAGCCCCCCAAGTCATCAGTGGAATTGGGCCTTACAGAAGGTCAAGCACACTGTTTTCTGACCTCCTCAGACCCCAGCGTGAAAAGACCACTCAGGGCTGAGGTGGGTGCAGTCCTTGTTGTGTTGGTTTGACAAGCTTTGACTTCAGGTAAGCACCACTGCAAAGGATGACGGGGCTGTAGAGGGCAAGGTCCAGGCTAGACGGGGGCATGAAGAAGGTGCACGCATACGAGGGCCAGTCCCATAATAGGAGTGGAACCACCCTACAACTTTTGCCCAAAAAACACAGTAGAGACAGGATTCTGGAGCATCAGTTCCTGGGGCTCCAGCCTGGCCAGCAGAATTATGCAGTGGGGACTCTAAGATGCATGTGAGTGACAGGTGTCAACCTGTCCATATGAAATAGGAATCCAGCCAGTGAACTAATAAGGATGCAGAGGTGAAGGCAGGCAATTAGGAAGAGGCCTGGCAGTGCATGGGAAGGCCACCAGAGCTCCATCCACAGGGTGAGGCTTGTGAGTGGGTCTGTGGACCTACAGAAAGGGAGCCCAGTGCTGTAGTTGCTGCTGAGTAAGCAAAGAGCCCCATAGGCTACTGGATCTGAGGCTGCTTTTTGGTTGTTCATTCATTTGTACACTGAAGATCCACGGACCACCATTCTAGGCAGTGGAGATATCCCGAGGCGAAGCCATTCCCTGCTCTGCCAGGGCTTACAACAGTGGGAAAGTCAGAAAGGAAAACCAGACAGCGACAGTACAGGACCACTAAACATATCATCTGGAGCTGTATCAGGGCTGTGGAGCACCTAATTCCTACCAGAGTTTGGGTTGTAATGAATAATTACCATTTCTGTGCTAGACATTGCACTTGGCGCCTTCATACATGATCTCATTTAAGCCTTATCACAGTTGTTTAAAGCAGGGGTTACCATTCCCATTTTACAGATAACGAAATGGGGGTGCAGAGAAGTCAGATCATTTGATCAATGTCACACCAGCAAGTGCGGCAGGTGGGAAATTGAACTCAGGTTTGTTTTGGCTCTAAGGCCCGTGCTCTTTTGAACATCTCAAAGCCCATAAATATAGAAAACACACAGCCAGAAACACTCTCCTGAAGAATCTTTTAGGATCATCCTACCCAAAGACATAAGAGAGAAAGATAACAGAGATTACAGCATGAGACAGAGGAAGAATTAAAATAGTGCTTTTAATATAATTTTCAGCAAACGTACAGTATGTACTTTACATCACATATTTCTAAACTGCTCATCTGGAAAATATAAGCTGCAAAAATACAGAATTCCACACTCAAAAATCTATTGAGTATGTGCTTTTATCCCTCCATTCTGTGAAACGGTGATTTTTCACCCCCTCCTATTAACATCCAGCCTCAGCTGATTTTGTTAGAGCTGTCGGAGCCCTCACACAGAGAAGCATTCCCAAGAGGGGATTTTCTAAAGCATGTCAGCAAGCCACCCCCACAGGAACCAGAGGAGGGACGGGGGGAAGGGAATTTGCACACCAGGTCAACATTACTCTTTAGTGACCCAGGAAAAAGGCTACTCTGAGGGCTGCTGGGAGGACTCCTGACACAGGCCACCTCCTTAGTCCTTGTCACAGGCCTGTGCTTGGGGCCTCAAAGGACCACGCACTGGCTGGAAAGTCCACATGGGGACCCTTGGGTTCTTGGGTGGGGCAGAGCACGCTAAGTCAGGCCCGCGAGGTCTGTGGGTGGCGGTGGGCTGCTCTCTGCAGGAAGAGGGGGGCCAGGCCCTCAGCTTCTCACAAAGGAGTCTTCTGAAGGTGAGTGTGACTCAGGGCAGGTTTTCTCAGTCTCAATGTCTTGGTACTCTGTGCCTAAAGGGGGAGGAGGGAAGAAGAGCCAAGAGGAAAAAGAGATCGGTCTTTTCTGCTTTTCCTACTTATTTTTTAGGCTTATATAATAGCATCATGGCTTTCCAGTGGAATAAACAAGAGTAGGAAGTTGAAGCAATAAAGTGCTGGTTTTCGCTCCATGTAACCCCAAGGGACCAGATTCCAAGCCAAAAGACCTTTTCGAAGGCCAAATCTTTCTGAGAAGGATATGTGTCTGTGTGTCCATACAACATCCAGGTGGATTTAATAAGATGTATCCCGGCCATTAACTTACTCTCAGGTAAATCCCCAGTGACAGACGAGCTTGTTTGCTAGGACTCTTAAGTGTCACTGCACATCTCTATCGAAGTGGTCCTGAGTGCCAGAGAAAACCTCTGGCTCCCAGTGTCATGACTTGTCCTCTCGCATTCTGGACCAGTGTGTTTTTCATTTAGCCACAGATATTCACCGCATGCTGAGTGAAACAATCTGCTCATCGGAGCAAGGTTGTTAAGCCTATGTCACTCTTACAAAATAGATGCAGTGGCTTCATTTAAAAGGTATTCAAGACCCAACTAGTCCCTGTGACAGTTCACAAGCAGTACAGGTCTCATTGACTGTGACATACAGCTTTCTTGTTAATGACAGGCATGGTGGGGCCACAGAAGTCCCCATTCATTTGTCATCTTTAAACTTTGACCTGGTGGTACAAAAGGTGACAGTTTGGGACTGTCACTCCTTTCCTCAGGATTTTGAAGCTGAGACCTGGCATACAGAGAAGGAAGCCCATTGATTCTGGGCAATCTGGAGAATCCTTCCTCAACGTTCTCAAGGCTCAAGTTCTTACAGTCTTAGGGCTTCTGCTGGCAGTCTTGGAGGTGAGAGCTGAGGACGGGACAAAAGAGAGCGAGCTGGGGCTAGTTCTTGCCCAGCAGAATGAATAAGACAGAGGATAATGAATGGCTGAGAAATCGCCGCTGTGGAAGAACGAAGGAGGAGTGTTTTTAAAGGTCTCCATAGTTTAATTATTAAAGTGAAACATAGTTTTTCTCATTTTAGATTCCTGTGCCCATAGGCAAAATTTTACAGAGGTTCTCGTCTCTGGCTCCTGGCTGACTTCTGCATGCACCTATAGACTCCTGCAGGGGATTCCCAGTGGGAGATGTTCTGTTGGCTTCACAAAGGCTTCCTAAGAAGGCAGATGTGTGCTGTCACTTTGGTGGCTGTGGTGTAATGAAAAGAGAGCACTGGTTCAGGAGTCAGACCTGGCATTGGCTCTCAATGACTTTTCTAACTAGCTGTGTGAACTTAGGGAGCTTGGATTTGCTGAGCTTTAGTTTTCTGACCTGTAAAGTGGGGGAAAAAACTTACCTCATAGGGCAGGTGTGAAAGCAATACCTGGGATTGTGCATCATGGCACCTGGCATGTGGGTAGCAGGCTCTTAATGAACATGGGCTCCCCAGCCCCTTCCCTCCCTTAAGGTGCTGGATTACAGCACAACTTGTGTGTTCAGTTGGGTTCCTCTTCTAATGAAACTTCCTACGGTGCTTATGTATAATTCATTTTATGCCTTAGATTATAAAATCAAATGGTCTTGCCAAATGTATCTCCATGAGAGCCATCTTCTATTAGGTTAGCATGAATTCAAAAAATCAGATTCATAGGAGGGCAAAAATCTCAACCCACAGAATGTTAAATCTCTGGAAAACGTACTATGTTGTCCCATTTGCTCATAGCTAAAGAACAAAATCACTTCTACTTTATGGAAAAATATTTGAAATCTATGACAATTATCAACTCTAGATTGACCTGGTCTTTATTATAAAAGTAGAAATGTCTAGATATTCTGTTCTTAAAAGCTTGGAATCTGAGACTAAGAGTAAGACATATCCAACCAGTATCCAGCTTCAGTCTGGGGTCTCCCTGCTGGAGCCAATGACCAGTACCGAGAGGTGCCTCCCTGGTGTCTCATTGCTTCTCAGTGTGTTCAAAGTGTATTGCAGAATGCATCAGAGAGGAGGAATCTGTTTCCTCTAACCTGTCCATTTCTGGTAGCACACCTCATATCAACGGATCCCTGGGATCAGGGGTTAAGACTAGGAATGACACCTCTAGAATCAGTTGCCTCGGTGTTCTGGCTATATTAGGGGGCAGGTGAGAGTGCAGGGCCCCATAGTCCATTTGGGCCACAGTATTCCTGATGGGCAGTCTCTAAAGGTGGGGAGGGGTCCCTCCTGCCTTGCACAGTAGGGGTGAAGTACCCATCTGGCTAAGGACACAGGCTTTGGATTCACAGATCTGGGTTTGAATCTGCTTTGTAACCTTGAGCTGATTCTGGAAGCCTTCCTATTCTCATTTTCCTCCCTATAAAATGAAGCAAATAACAGTTCCTGCCTCACAGGATCATTGTTGAGATTAAATGAGCTAGTATATGGGACACGCTCAGCCCAGCAGCTGGTTCACAGTAAGTGCTTGATAAATGTTAGCTACTACTGTTATCGGCTATCATTAGTGCTTACCAATTACTCCACCTGGCAAATCTATTAGCTTTAGAGTGCCAATGTTTCACATTGGTGGGGAGCAGGAAAGGGATTGGAAATGCTATTCTGTATCTGAATTCACTCTCTTTTTCCTAGGTCCTATATTTCTCCCTCATGTGCCCATTTCCATCATTTAAGGAAAAAAGGATGATTACTCTAGTTGAATTGCCCAGTGTCAGAGCTGGAAGGGACTACAGATTGTATAGTTCAACCTCCCCACATTACACAGGAAAAAAAGAACGCTGCCTTCAATTTTAAACTGACAATAAAATGGTACTTACCACATTCTAGAAATAAATGAAATACCTGAGTTACATTCTTGTGGTCAGGAATGTTAGAGCTGCTGGACTAAAGGACCGTTCCAACACACTCCTTGGCCCATGCGACAGCAGAGTCGTAGGCGCTGGGATCTGCTTCACCTATACAGCCACTAGCGCCCCCAAACATGCAGTGCTGCCTCCAGAACAGAGATCACCACACTATGGCCCTCCCTTGGCCAATCCAGCTGCCGACTGTCTTTATAAATAAAGCTTTATTGGAACACAGCCTGTTCATTTGTTTACCCACCGTCTATGGCTGAGCTCACACTACAAACAGAGTTGAATGGCTGCAACAGAGACTGAATGGCCCACAAAGGCTAAATGTTTTCTATTTGGCCCTTAACAGAAACAGCTTGTGAACCTGCTTTGATGGCGCAGGGACGTCTTCCTCCTCGTCCTCTCATCCTCTCTCCCTAGCAGACACCGCTGCTCTTTGGTTCTATTTTTCTAGACCACCCTCTTTACAAGCCTTCCTAATTCTCACTACCATGAGGCAGAACTTACCACCTCTATACATCAGCTTTCCTTATACCCAGATGGGACCTAGTCTTAGTGTTATTATTCCAAAGCTTTCGTTTGTGTTTGGGTCTGTCTGGCTCATTGAACTGTGAACTCTGGAGGGCAGGGACTGTGTATTTCTCACCTTTGTAACTGGTCCAGCGCCTGGCACATAGCCACAATTTTAAGGAAAGGAATGAATGAGTAAATACTAGTGTAGAATATATCAAGCTCATATGATGCACCCCCGAATGAAACTAAACCTGCAAAGGAAAATCGTGTATCATGTGGAAGCTCTCTGAGGAGTAGGAGTTCTTGTCCCTGCCTCCAAGGCAGTCAGATTTCTGAGGTACAGGGCATCTTTGCTTTTCTGAATTGCCCATTTTAGGTCTTTTTTAAACCCATGTCATCCCTGCCATAATGACCAAACACCCTGGGTTGTTGAGGTCACTTGCTAATGTGAGGAAAGGGAGCCAGGAGTGGGTGCTCTGTGCAGTAAGTGTGGATTCCACCTATTAATCTAGGCAATGGTTCCATAAGAAGCATTGGAACAAAAATATCTTCCTTGCATATTCCATCAGTGAGAGATTCTCCTAATTTACTCTCAAACAACGATAATCCTAGGGGGCTGGGATCCAAAGGGTGTCATTTATGGCTAGTTGTCTAATCGATTAGGTCCTTACAGCTGTTCAGAGAGTAGGAGTTTGCAGTGAGCTGGGAGAGGTGGGTGTAATGAATGAGGAGGAAAGGGCAGAAAAAGGATAAATACTGTAATTGGGTTCTAAACTAATTTTCCAGGTCAAATTTAATTTCACCAGTGCCTTCTCTTGGAAAATTTGGCACTTCTTAGGTATTTGACCTGGATTCTAACCTAAGGGGGAACAGTCCCCAAAGGGAAACATGGATCCTGGTTCTGAGGAGGCCAATGAGAAGGCCGTGGCTTGAGCCCAGGAGAAATCAAGCCCCCTGCTGTGTGTCTAGTCCTTTCCCCTGGCTCTATCCAGATTCCTGGTTCTCCCAAGCCACCAAAATAGATAAGAAAAGCACAAGGCAGCAAATACTCTCCATCTGTTGGACTGAAACACTGCACGTCTGGGTTTCTCCCCCTCTAAACCAAACCAAATATACACACAACAGTAAAAGAGTGTAGCTCCACCAGGCTGGAACAGAAACTTGTCCTTGTCTCTCTGGTCTCGGCTGTAAGATCAGCTGCATTGATTTCTGTACACTGATCTTTACTGCTTAACACTGCTGAGTAGGGCTTTCAGGACTTCTAAGCGGTGCTTAAAACAGATCACACAGGCCTGACAGGCCCAGCCTGGTGGAGAAAAAAACCACACTGCCCAGGACCTGAAGCAGCAGGAAAACCAGACTGGCAGGCCCATAGGGAGCCAACAACTGTTCCTCAGAGAAACCCTCTGTGAGTGACCAGATATATTTCCACTTTCCGTGTTCCTCAAGGAATGGTCTTCTCTGGAAGGTAGTCCATTAGCAACCACAGCAGAATCTTTTTTCTGAGAAATTTCCTCAGGACCTGTTCCTCAGAGAAACCCTCTGTGAGTGACCAGATATATTTCCACTTTCCGTGTTCCTCAATGAATGGTCTTCTCTGGAAGGTAGTCCATTAGCAACCACAGCAGAATCTTTTTTCTGAGAAATTTCCTCAGGAGCAAGTGTGGCTGTCATCCCGGGGACTACCTGGTTGCCCTCGTGTGCAACGTTTCTGTGGGTTACCTCAGGCCCGTGGGCTTTCCAACAGGAAGGGTTGGGACACTGTGCCATGTGTGAGCAAGTGGAAGCTCGAGGTCATTATTGGACACAGAGAGGTGGAATCAGGGGATCCAATGTACAGGTGCCACTTAACCAAACTTTAAAAGCCCTGACTAGAGTAAGCTATTCCACTGTAAGGTGGTGAAAAAGACGTGATTTTTACGGACTTTATTTGGTCTCCTTTGTTGCTCGGAAGACATTGGCAACTCTGATTCCTTAGAAGCTCTTGGTTTCCCCTTATTTTGCCTGTTGAGCGTTACTAGCAAACTCCTTAGGGGGACTAAGGAGGATTCTCTTGGTCCTGCATTAGCTGTGAGTTGAGCCGCCATGCTGTGGCCTTCTGGAGGGGCGGTGTCCCCAGGGTGCCTGGGAGCTTGCGGCCTGCCTTGGAGAGAAAAGAAAGGCTGCAGTCCCCTAGAGGGAAACACTTTCACAAAAACGTGCTTACTTCACATGAGGGAATAATACCGGTACAGAAAAGAAGACCTTCTTGGTCTATACGTAGGAGTTACAAAGATCTGCCAAAAGTTGCAGCAAAGACACTTTTTCATCCCTCCCTGGGCGTGTTCAACTGAGATGGAGGATGGACTGCAGCAGAAGAGAGAAAACTCTAGCATTCACTTCCAGGGTTTATTCCAATCCTCACGTTTTTGTTTTCTGACCAATGCAGATCTTAGGAAATCTTTTCATTCAAAATACCACTCAAAACCAAACCGATAACCAAGGGGCTGGATCCAGTGTCGTACGTACAATGGTTCTTTATAGTGCAAAAAGGAAATTAAGACCAGACTGATTTATCTGTTAGCATAGGGGAGAAATTAAAATTTTAAAGGTGAAAACACTTCAGAGTCATGTTGATGAATGGGACTTTAAGTTTATATCCAGTTGCTGATAATAGCCCCGGAGCTGTTTTCCTTTGTCATCCTAACACCTCTTCTCATTCATCCTAAAATCTTAGGAAAAGAATCCAAGATCCAATGAGTTTAAAAAAAAATCTTTTAAAGCAAATAGTCCTGTGAAACACGAGGTCATAGGGCCTCTTGTATATTCTTGTGTTTGCAGAATATTTGAATGAGGATAAGATGATAAAAATTACAATAGATTAATTGCATCCCTTGAATCACATATTTTTGGTGCATTAAAAAAGGAGGAAAAAGGAGAAAAGTAAAAGTAACCAGCATAATAAATCCGGCCTATAGAACTGTTAGTGACTGATGGGTTAATACAGATTTTAAAGTAGTTAAAAATAGCATTAGAGGAGTATACATACAACAGTTTGAAATTCATATGCATTGTATCGTTCTTTTTAAAAATGGCAAAATGTTTGGCAAATGTAAGCAAATGACTTGGATTATGTTGGGTCTCACCAGCTCTGAGCAGAGTCAGTCATGGCCAGGTGAGGCCCACTGCTTCCTGAGGTCGCTCTGTGGGGCTGGGGGAGGTGGGTGCCCGCCACTGGGGGGTGCTGCTGCTGGGGCAAGGGAGATGCTGGCCCCCCTACCCGGCTCCCCCTCAGGCCCTCGGTCTTGAACGTGGAAATGGAGCTGGTGAGAGGTGCCAATTACATACTCCAGCACAGATCACCCATTAGCATCGCTGAGAGAACTCTGGGGCCTGGAACCACATGCAGACTGGGTGAGTCGTCTACACAGTGACCCATATTGCAAAAGTTAGAGAGGGGCGGGGCTTCCACCCCTCTGACTTGCGCGCCTCCCATGCGGAGGGAGAGGGTGGCACAGAGTGTGTCACTAGTGCTTAATCTGGCAATGTTCTCAACTCGTGTTTTTTTTTTTAGTAGACTTGTTTTTAATGTTTTTTTGTTTTGTATGTGTATGTATATCCAGAAATGTCCATCCTCCAAGCTGGCCACCACTGTTCCCTGAATTTGGCAGTGCCTGTTGCTTGCAGCTGTTGGCATCCTGAAAACCATGAGGTGCCTTCAAAGCAGACTCTGAGCCCCAGCAGTGCGAGCGTCCTCCAGGACCCCCGCCGCACGTCACACGTGTGATCCCTTGCTCTCCTTATTCTGAATCCTGTCTGGCTCTGATTGTGAGAAAGAGGACAAAGGTCCTGTGTGTGTGTGTGTGTGTGTGTGTGTGTGTGTGTGTTGTTTTTTTTGGAAACCTTTTTTTCTTTTTCTTTTTCTTTTTTTTTTTTAAGAAAAGTGACCCTTTGATTACTAATACAGAGTTCAGCCCTCCTGTAGTCACTATAAAACGGACTCCATGTTTTCACACCACTCATGATCTTCCAGGTTATAGATAAACTTTGTCCTATGTGTCTGATGTGCGGGCACAGGGTCCCTCCCCAGATTGTCTAGGGTCAGAGTAGAGGCAAAGAACTCACTGGTGCTCAGCCCGCCCTCGTGGTTTTTGATGTAGCGTTTATAGTTTTTCCTCAGGCACTGCCACGTGGTGGTGTAGAGGATGAAGGCGAAGGACTTGAGCGCAATGGCGATGCTGACGTACAGGTATCTGTAGACCACGTTGTCGTAGAGGACGCAGGCACCTTGCTCCCCGCAGAACGTGCTCCAGAACAGACAGGTGGAGTCGATGCCAGCCCCAAAGATGAGGGGTGGGGGGATGAAGCCTGGCAGAGGGAAAAGAGCGTTTAAGGTTCTGGCTCTGGTGGCCGGTTTTGTGTAGAGACGGGCTCTCCTGTTCCCGTCCGTGCACATCTGCTCTTATAGGACCGCGGAGAGAGCACATCCGACTCTGCGGCTACACAGCACAGCGCTTCAAAGACACGCTCAGGAGCCAAACTGCGTGAGTTAGAATCCCAGCTCTGCCTCTTATTCACTGTACAAGCCTATAGATGTTATTTAAACCCCCTGCACTTTAGTTTCCTCGTCTGCAAAATGGGGATGAGAATAACACCGTCCTTATCAGATTGCTGTGAAGACTGGCTAAATTAATACATGAAAAGCACCTAGGACAGTGTGTATTGTGCCTGGTACACGGTAGACACACAAAAGTGACAGCTGCTATTGTTATCATCTGCTGAGAGGTTAAGAAGGAAAAGATAGCCTTCCCTGAAGGGAAATATTCTTTGTGTCAAAGAAGTACAACCTCATAGAGGGACTGCAAAGAGGCATCATGCTGTAGAAACTGTTCACTTACACGGGGCTTGTGTGTGCTCTTGAGTGGAGGGACCAGGAGCCAGAATGGACCAGAAGTTGGACGTGAGTACACTATACCGTGTGTGTGTGCACATGCTTCCCCTAGATATCTCACCACTGGATGAAAACGCTTTTCCTTTAAAGCTGGGAACTGGTTTTAAAACTTTCACAACAGAGCATTACAGGCTCCTACAGAAGTCATTAAAAATGGCAGGTGAGATGAGACGTGTTCACCATAATTAATTTAGTTCCACGTTACTCTGTGTTTCTTTGCCTGCTGTTATCTCCTAGCTCAATGGTTTTTGATCCTGGCTGCATGTTAGAATCATCCAGGTGTCCCATCCCAGACCCATGAAATCACAGCATTTGGTGTTTGGCCCAGATATCAGCATTTTAAAAATAAAACATTACCAGGTGATTCTGGCCTGTTGGAGGGGTGGAGGTCGGGGGGAGTCTCATCTGTACCATGAGAAAGCAATAGATGAATCATTAATACAGATTAATTATTCCAGAAAAAACAGTGTCCCCCTGATGCCAGAATGTAGTGCCAACTGCCTTCAATGAGAGACCAGAGAAGTGGGAAGTGATCTCTGGAACCAGGTGTGGACACCCCTGGGACTCCATGGCCAGGATACTGCTATCCACGTGTTTCATTTTTTGTTAAGGAAGGTCCCTCTGAGAATGTGATGAGATGGAGACCCTTAGCCCAGAAAAATACACCTACCTACAAAACAAACACACATTGCAGGGGCTCATAGGCCCCTGAAGTCCATCTGTGACCCCAGAGTAAGAACTTCTGCATCACAGATGCTGCAGCGACTCCATCTGAGGCCTCAAAGAGCAGCTTGGGAGGGGAGGGCCAAGGAGGTCAGCAGGCTTCCCTCAGATTTGATGACAGGCTTGGGATGGGATGAGAGGGACCACATTGTCCTGTCCATGCTAAGGAGGCTGGCAGAGCTCCCGGCGCCCCAGGCCCAGGTGCCTCAGCACTTCTCACAACTCTCCAGCTCTGGCACTTGTTACCCCAAAGAGAAACCCCTGAGAAGGATTCTAGCTGAAACCTCACTAAAAATTCCCAAGCAGCTTGATTTAATAAACTCCAAGCTCAAAATTCTGCTGCCAGGTCAGGTTGTGATCCTGCTCAATGGAAAATCATATTCCCAGAATATGCTGTGGCTGAACAGGCTGCCAGGTGTTTGAGACCTTCCTTCGGGGACCCTGTATGTTCTCCCTGTCCCCAACAAATGCCTTCTCTATTTCACTGAAAAAGAGCCAACTGGAGGAACCGCCATGGCAACCGTATAATAGAAACAAAGCCACACTTGACACTACTTAGGTAAAGAAACGCAGATCTGGAGCCAGTTTAAACCATGGGTATATCTGCAGATAAATGGGACTAGTTTGCTTTGTTCCTGTGGCACAGAGGACAGTGCACATCTGTTCACGTTTCTATTTCTAGGGTTTAAAAATGCTCCTCTCTCCTCTTCCTTCTCCCCCTTGTGCCCTTTCATGAGGTCATTTCACTTTGTCCTAGCCACCCGTCACCAGGCAATGGGAAGCTAAGACTACAGAGGACACTATGGTAAAAGCTTTGCCATGGGAAGGATCAGATGGTACAGGTACCCCTTGCTCCACAATGCAGGGACTTCTTGGATACAAATTCAAGTTTGGCAAATCAGGTCATTTTTAGCACACTGAAGGAAATTTGCAATATAAAGGAACCATTCAATAATACTTAAGCCAAAATATCCCTCTAAAATGCCAATATGTAACTCCTTCACACAACTGTACCGGAGTGAGAATTTTTATATTATGTAGTTGTTTTTAAACCAGGGCATACCTGTGTGTGCTAAAGATGTCAGTTTCATCCTGCCTACTATGTGACCTGGGAGGAGTTAGAAACAGCATTTAAACAGTTAGAAATTAGAAAGTGAAGTGCCTATCAAAATTTTTCAAGACATACTCAATATTTTGGAAAGCATTTGTGACAGACAAGAAAAAAAAACTTTTAAGGAGCCAAAAGCCTTGGGGCAAGTCACTTGATATTTCAGTGCCTCAGTTTCCTCCCTTTAAAATGGAGATGATACCACCTTGCTTGGTCAGGATTAAGGAAAACACTACATAAATGAGGTATGTGAGTGTTTTGCAAGGGCTGGCCCTTCCATGTGGTCAGAACTTTTGCTACTTTGTTCATGTTGTACCGGGTATGTGGGGTGATATTTTAGAATAAATTCTAGGTCAAGTACTGCAAGTATAACCTTTATGAGATTCCTCACATTTCTGAATACAGAAAGCATTGGCTTTCTCTTCCACCAAAGGGGAGCTATAGCTTTCAGGCCCTAAATTCTAGGTGTGCTGAGAATACCAGAGATGAAGAACTAACGGGATCTTTTTAGTGAGAAGGCTTTGCCATTCTGGAACTCACCTAATTAGTCACAGAAAGGAGTCCCACCCTGTTGACTAATTTTCACACCCAGTGCTCATCCTTAGGTTTATCATTAAGACCAAATCAAAGCCTGGAAAGTCCCTGCAAGAAGCTGGTTGCCCAGAAACCACTGGAAGACTTCTACACTGTGACAACTGCAGTGGTAACTGCTGTCAATTACCGCCCCCCCCGCCCCCCCGGAAGGTATAGGGCGCTCTAGATCCATTATAAATCCTCTCCATAACCCCATAACATCCCTTATTTTACATATGAAGAAACTGAGAATGAGAGAGATTATTTGATATTTCAAAATCCCAAACCCAATAATCCCCCCTTCCAATTCAAAGTTTGTTGATTTAAAGAAAAGATTTTAGAGCTCTTAAGAGAGATTTCCAGGGCTACAGAGAACATTTGATTTGCCCTTATGCTAAGCTCCTGGGGATAACTGGCTTGAGGAAGGCTGGTTTTGAAGCATGCAGAGGGCGAAACACACAAGGGTTCTGATCTTTGCAAGCTGCTGAGCCCGCCCTTCTCCAGGATTGTTAATGCATAGAAAAGGCTGGGAGATTTATTTTGTAAACAACCTCAGTTTTTGGCAAAGCACCTTAGGCAGATACTTATCATCAGGAAGAGACTCAGAGTCGTCACTTGTCCTCGTAGCCCTTTTATTTTTCAGACAGGGAGCTCACATCTGGAGGTTGCTTGGTGGTGGGGAGGAAATGGGAATTTTGGAACCAGAGACAGCTGATATTGGATTTGGACTGAGCTGCTCAGGAACTGTGTAACTCTGGGTACATTACACAGCTTTACTAAATCTCAGTTTCACTGTTTATAAAACATGCACAATCATACCTTCTTGAGGATTTCTTCTAAGGATTAAATGAGATACATCTGAAAACGCCCTCACTTGCTGGGCTCTCAACAAATCTGGTTCACTTCCTGTTCCCCTTTTGCCCTAAAGCTCTTTGGAGAAAAGAAAATCTGTCCTTTTTTTTAAAAAGATGACCGGTAAGGGGATCCTAACCCTTGACTTGGTGTTGTCAGCACCACGCTCAGCCAGTGAGCAAACCGGCCATCCCTATATGGGATCCGAACCCGCGGCCTTGGTGTTATCAGCACCACACTCTACCGAGTGAGCCACGGGCCGGCCCCAAATCTGTCCTCTTTTAAACCACCACTTCTAGAGAAAGAGTTGCAGAAAACCCTCCAAGCCAAGCTTCAGTGACTAACCCCAACTGGAAAGAATCCTCCACGTCATAAGAATAAGGAAGTTTTGTAAGATAATCAGGTGCTTCAAGAAGGGGGGCCGAGTGGGTAAGGTGTACTTTAGTGTCCACTCCTGCTTTCAGCACCTTCCCTCTGTTAGGCCCTTAGTTACCTAAGGAATGAGGAGGGGGCTGATGATGGTGTAGTCTTCAGAAGCAGTGTTCTGAAGGAATGCTCTCCCCTCTGTGTCTCCTGGGCAGGAACTCGTGGAGGAAGCAGGTGTTAATAGGGTCCCACCACTGGGGCACTGGGAACCCACCATATGCTGGGGAGGATGTATCTAGGCTCAGTGCTGCTATGGAGAATATTAAAAGAATTAAATCTCACTTTCTAATACTCTCGGGCCCAAATTGCAGCTATATATATTTCAATGCAAAAACTGCAGGATTGTTTAAGGAAATTAATTGTCTCTGTTTTCCTGAAATCTATTAACAGAGATTAAACCTCAGGGCCTTGTATTTTAGCTATTTAATTCACTCCCCTGTTTGAAAAGGCCAGGCCTATTTATATTCTTTGGTCTAAACTTAAGAGGTGAACTGAAAGGCTTTTGTAAGAAAAATAAATTCACATTACTTTATGGGACAAAATGGAAGCTGAAAATTACTCTGCCATTTACATTTAAACAGATATCTGTTCCTCTCCAGCTGACCTGCCAGGACTTGAATTCACCATGGAATCTCTATTCAACCTGGTGGAATTACTGTCATGTCTAGCACCAGCTAAAAAGGGGATGTTGAAAAGTGTACTCTCCCAAAAGGATTAACGAGTTTCTCTGCTTCAGCAATGCCAAAAAAGAGACTGGACCGATGCCACTGGCAGCCATCTTCCAGGGACACCTGACATTCACTTTTCTTAAATCCAACAAGACTGGAGGAGCTACTACATTTTCATTTCATTCCTGGGCGCTTTGTTAAAGCCACCAAGGCTTAAGAGCTTAAGTAACTTGCCAAAGGCCACATAGTAATGGACTTAAACCCAGGTGTACCAGTATCTCACATTCACTTCTAGGTCCATGGTAAATAAGTGAGATCACCTTAGCACAGGTAAGGAAAGCACACCCCGAGTGATGCAGGCACATCTTTGAGAGAGCCCGGTGCCTAGACGGTGCTTAATAAATGTCCACCAAATCAACAAGTGCGTGCACCAGTGAGTGGAAGGGATCTCGCGTGCACCCTGACATTGAACCCTCCCACCCGGGGTCCCTGGGCACGCTGTGCTTACTGCTTCCAAAGCATCACTTATGTGCTCATTTCTTCACTTGCCCATAAACTTCATGTTCAAGACGGTGCTCACAGCAGGGGCTCAACAAATGTGTGATGAGCCACATCTGGAGTTTCCAATTGCACTTTCCTAGAGTGATTCGTGAATCACCCAAGACCTGCCTGCTCAGGAATGACACCTGTGTATGTAGGTACACCCTGAGGGTGACCGTCCCAATGCTTTTTGTGAGTGGATTGCTCTGGAAAATGAAGAGTAGGCATTGGTGGGTGGAAACAATACCATTGGGACACCTGATTCGTCACTGTGTGTTATCTTATTCTGTCAAAGTCTTTGCTGCAGGCCCAGTCACAGGGGCTCCGAACCTCACTTCCTCTTCACTGCTGCTGCTTCTCTTTTGTTTTCTTCTGGCAGGGGTTTGTACAGACGCTGTCTCCACCATGTGGCTCCCATGTGCCTTTGTCCTTCAGTGCCACTGCTCACCCCCGCCCCCCACCCTGGTCACCTGCTCCTCACCTCCACACTGCTGCTTAGTTTTCCTGCATCCTGCCCAACCACCCCACACCTTGCTCCCAGGCTGGTCTCCTACAATCAGAATTCTGAATACATATCCACTCTCCCCTCTGAAACCCTCATTTGCTCAACGCTGGCACCTACTCAGCCAAGTAGAATTTTTTCCCTTGAAATTCAAGGTCCGCTATAACTCTTCTAAGCCTTTACTTTCCCCATACTTGCTTCCTTCTACTGGTGCCCCTGAAGGCGGGATCCTGGCTCCTGCTTATCTGTATATTCCTTGCAGCACTTAGACAGTGCCTTGGACATAAAAGGATCTCAGTATATATTTCCATGAACTGAATTTGGTATAACACCCATGGCACACAGTAGACCCCAGGAGCAAGATTCTAGACCAGACCCATGAGCTGATGGCTTGCCAACAATGCAGAGAGAAAAGCTGTGACCAGGATGTTTGCAAAAGAATGAAGGAGTCAATTACACCAGGAATTCTCCTGTGTGTAGATCGTCCAGTTCATTCGGAATTGACTGACCCTTCTCTAGCTCAACGTCCTCCTCCTCAATTTTGGCCACTGTCCTGGACAACATGAACTTGTCCACAGACATGTATTACACAGTCTGGCCTTTTAACAATGACTCCTCAACGTCAAGGCTGCTCACCGCTGTTCCTCTCTGGCAGCCACACCCTGGGCTCTGTTGTTTCTCAGAACCGCTCCACCTCTGTAATGTCAAAGTCACTTACAACTAGTTCTTACAGTTGCTTTATCTCTTTGTCCTTTCTCCTTTCTGTACATCTTCCTTATGCAGCTCAGGCCCCATGGTCAATCACTGAAGTCCCATTTTGATCCTTGGTTTCTTTTTTTCTTCCACCCGCTGGCCACTGGCACCACCCTGACTGGTGCTGCTGTGTCCCTGCCCTTTCTACCACATCCTTTCCATTGGTGTTTAAAGCAACAGGGAAACCAATCTCACATTCACTTCTAGGTCTTGCCCTCTTTCCTTCCTCACCCCACAGCCAAGTGTCTGGAAAGAGCGGAATTCCATACGTTTGGACCCTCTGAGGATGGAGCATCAAAGACTGCCCCTCCATACATGCACTGTCCAGTACGACAGCCACAGGCCACATGAAAACCAATAAAAATGGAATAAAATCAGCTTACAAAAGCCACACATCAAGGGCACCAGTGTGGTCTAGCAAGAATTCGCCCCAGCCAATGCACAGGACCCTGGGTGAACCATGAACTATTCCTGTCTGCCAATGTGAAGAACGAGAGGGTTAGACTTTATTCCTTCTATCCATACCAGGCCTTGAAACATGGGTCCTATAGCGTGAAGGTCACATTTGCCCCATCCTGGAAACCCAAGATAAATAAATCAGTTTGGAAAAATTTAAAGGATGCAAAGTTTTCCTTTTCGAGGCATTGTGAGAATGCCTCTCTCTCCCAGCTGGCGGCCCCATAAATGAAGCATTTCACAAGCTGCTCATGGGTTGCTTTAATGAGGATGCCAAATCACACCATCACATGTTTTTTTCCCTTTGGTGTTATCACTTTTCCTCCTTATGCTGATGAGAATTCAGGTGGCACAAAGACAAGAGTAAATGAAAACCTCGTGATGTCCAGGGAGTGCCTGTGTTTCATATCTAAAGTATCTCTTTACTAATAATTAAACTTCATGGCAAAAGAGACAAACCCAGGAAATGGGACAATTTTTCTGATATTTACTTACCTGGAAATAAGCATCCCATTCATTCCCGGGGAATAAAGAGGTCATACGTACCTAACAAACGAAGGAGGAGAAAAAGAACTCCCAGGGCGTACGACTTGAGTTCAGGGCTGACTGTCCTATGTGCCAAGGGATGAAGAGGGAAAAAAAAATTCTTATCATTTCATTTTAATTAACAGACCTGAGTCATTTGCTACTATGTCCATCAGAGCCTTTCTTTAGAAAATTACTAATAGTTCTTTTTTTTGGTTTCCCTGACTAAAGTAGGAAAAATAACTGCAACTGTGGTTCCAAGATAAGTTTGGGAATTTAACAGTGCTTTTTATTAACTGGAGCTAATCTTGTCATTGGAAGGACAGAATGCAAATTTGGTCATAAAGTCTACATTAAAAGACACTTTGCATTTGCCGGGATGGGAAAGTATCTTCAAATTGGTGTGCCACATGTATCAGGAAAACATCAACTAAGAAAATCATTCTTTATATTTTGCAAATAGGCTGAAACGATGAACATCTTTGTCACTTCAGGTCATTTTGTGAAATCCACCAGACTAGCATGGTTTCACACCTAGATGAGCCATGTGGGAAATAACCCATTCACCTATATCAAATTTCAATACCTTTTAAATTGGAAAGGTACCTTCCTATAGTCACAGTTCTTTTGATTCAATCTCCCTGGACTTGGGTTTAACCAGGACAGTCCCTTAGAATGACATCACACATTTCATAGAACATTCTCAGAGTGTAACATTTTCTGGGAGGGGAGTGACAGTAGAGAGAGGTCTGGAAATGATCAGTTGCAGACAGATGAGTCCACACAGCTGATAACACAATCTCCTTTGTAATGCCTCTGCTCTTGTAACTAGTATTTATTCAGCGCTTGCCTTCTCTCCCGGAGGTCAAGGACTGTTTGTGTCTTGTTCTTCATCGTGACCTCAACCCTAGCACCGTGTCTGACACCCTGCTGTGCTGGGTGAATGTGCACGGGGTGGATGGGTGTGCAGATGTCTCCCACTTACGCCCCGGGGCAGCCCTCTGGCTCGGTGGTGAAGGAGTGTGAAGAGAGAGTTGAATGATCGTATGCACATGTGCTTCGAGTCATCCCTGAGCAACTCTGGCAGAGAACCTTCCTCTTATCTGTCCCCGTCATAAGTCCCTAGAGGAGAGGGGGAGGGAAGCACATGACTACATCTCTCGGAAGGACTTGTATTAATTTAGAAATTAATGGGATAAGTGTCCTGTAAGAGGCTCCAGAGAGCTCCCTTGCTCCTTCCACCATGTGAGGACACAGCAAGAAGTTCACATCTATGAACGAGGAAGCCCTCACCAGACATGGAATCTGCCAGCACCTTGACCTTGGACTTCCCAGCCTCCAGAACTGTGAGAAATAAATTTCTGTTGTTTATAAGCCACTCAGTCTATGGCGTTTTGTGACAGCCATATAAACTGACCAAGACAGTGTAATTTTTACAATCTTTGCCCCCATTTCTGAGATTTTCTGGGAAAACCCAAAATGTGTTATTTTGGGGGATATACATATTTCCTCTCAGTTATATAAAGAATACAGTATAGGTAAATAATCCCAGGGTAGCAGGTCATGACTTTCATTGAGCAAAGGGGACTCGACTCTGCCTATTAAGACAGACACCAGTTCAATGTCAATGATGAGATCAGTGTCTCTGGACAGAAACAGAGTCAGTACTTTTTAGAATGTGCACATTACAAAATCCAAGTTCTTCAAAGTTATTATCGGATCCATGGCTCCAGTTTTTGCACATTCATTTGAAGGTATTGATTTGGAAGACACATAAATAAAGATGAATTCTCCTTATCAAGAAAACAGTGTTATAATGAGCTAGACTATTTATCACCTAAATTTGATTTCCTTTTAGCTACCATGCACGAGGAACAAAGTGAGCAAGGTACGGAGATCTCCCTTCATATCCTGCTGGGAAACTGGTTCCCACAAGAATAATCCTTCTCAGATCTAGTTCTAAAGAAAGGGAAGGCTCCATGTGAATGTTATTGAACGTTCTGGGCAACACCTGAGATGGAGTCTTAGCTCTACAACTTATTAGCTGCGTGACTTTGACAATACTGCTTGATTCCTGTCTGAGCCCAGCCCTGGGGCCTCAGAGGGGTGCAGTGGGTGCCAGCTTTTATCCTCGAATCTGGCCTTTCTGAGCACTGTTGTTGGCAGGTATGTCCTGTCTAGCATGACAGTGGGAGCACTGCTCTGGGATGGGCCAAGGGCTGGTGCACATGCAGGATGTGGCCCAGACTGTTTGTGCCCTTGTGCCTGTCTGGAACATCTGTGATGGCAAATGGGCCCCAGAAGGAGAAGAAATAAAGCCCTACCTTGGCCCTCTCAATGTGCACAGCATGTGAACATGTGCCTCCAGCCCAGCATGCAGTTACGAGGTGGCTGAGGCCCAGCCTAGGTCATTTAGGCCATCTGTTACTCATCCATTTAAAGGGAATCAAATATTCCCTGAAAAGCTCCAAGAGCTGTTTATCAAGCTGAGATTTGGAAGTGATTAAGATTTCAACATTCTGCATTTGGTCTGCCAGTTACCACTACTCAGCTTCTAGAGGCTGAGTTTTTGCAGGGGAGTCGTGGGGCGAGAAAAGGGGAACTAGTCAGTGCGAATGGTCAGGAGGGTCATTTTTCCTGCTGCTTGGTGCCTTTTGTGTGTGAATATCACAATATAAATTCATGAGAATTTCTAATAATAAAAAATAAACTACTCATAAGGCAGCCACCCAAAACCCATAAATGAGATCTGATGGGTTTGTCCATATGTATATTATATATAATCATCTTCCATAAATAGTTCTAAATACAATAGTTCATTTCATGAATACTTTTCACATTCTTAAGAATTTTCATTATTGCATCGAGATGCAGTACCATAATTTAACTCACTATTCCAGTTCAGGTTTTTCTGCTATTATAGTTAACGTTGTAATAAAAACCTGTCTGTATTGAGCTTGTTTTTCTTGTAGAGAAGTATTTTCTTAAGATAAATGGCCAGGGGTAGGGGGTAGGGTTATTGCATAAAAGGGTCTGAATACCTTTATTGCCATATTGCTTTTTTTAAAGGACTGATAGCTTTTCAATACCACCAGCAATTTGTGATTTTTAGCAATTTTGCCACAGCCTTGCAAGTACTAAATGTGAATTTCTTAAATTTATTTTTCAAACTTAGTATCAAATGGAATTTGCTATTGTATCCTTAATGTTTCTGCACATTCACAAGGCCTCGCTAATGACCTTCGAAATAACATAAGTACTTGTATAAATCCTCTTCCGCAGGAATTCATAACAAAGACCAGGAAATGTGGTGGGTCGGGAGAGAAGTTGAGAGAAGCTGGGTAAAGCAGCTGGTGAAGTACACTGACAAGCTTTTATTTCCAGTCCTTGGGATTGAATTGGTTTGCCTGTAGAACTGCATCCCAATAAGGTGGGTCTTTCTTTGTGTGGCAGCCCTTCCTCTGATTCAGATGGATGTTGGGGTATGGGTCAGTTCACTTCTAGGTTCCTCACGCAAATCTAGATAACTCTGCAAATGCTAAAAGTTACTCAGGATATGACTCAATGATTCACCTTTGAGGCACCTCACCTGCCCCCAGGACAGGTCCCTAGAGACAGGGAACGAGAGAATTACTGGTGACTCTCTCCAATGAACTACTTGTTCAAGAGTGGCCACTGCACACCTGCTGAGAGCCACTCAGCACAATAACCCCTCCCATCTCTATGGTGTCTGCACACACATGGTTTTGGCAGGTCCCACAACACTGAAGGGGGCAGGCAAGACCAGTAACATTACCCCAACTTACAGATTCAGAAACAAGTCAGGGGGAAACATCATGCCCACGGTCATACGGCTAATCAGTGGCAGGGCAGGGGCTGAGCTTTGGGACTTCGCTGGTCCAATGCCATTTTCATTTGACTCCAACAGTGCTGCTCCCTGAAAAGATCAATGCAGATCCTTTCCAAAGCACCTGCAGAGTCTATTCCTGGGAGGACACAAAAGTGTCTTCTCCCTTGTGCCCTGCTTTCTTCTCTTGGTGTGAAGTCCCTATCAAATGCAACTGATTCCTATTGGTGCAGGGAAGTTGCGTTCCTTGCTGCAGCCTGACATCAGTTGGCTTGTGAGACTCATACAGTGTCCCATGGTCTGATCCTCAGGAGATGTGCAGAAGCACAGGTGGAAAGGGGAGGAGGTGAGGTTGGCTCTTGGGTTCTGGGGCCAAGCTAATGGCTTACCTGATCAGGATGATGACCGAGGGCGTCTGCGCCATGGCACCGATCATGCTACAGACGCACATCACACAGAGGAAAGTGAGGAAGGCCTCCTGGCACCCAGGGCTGGGGCATTTTCCAGGAACCACAGTCGCATTTTCAGGGGGGACAGTGGTGAGGCACGCACAGCCCGTGAGATTCTGAAAGGGAAGCATTCAGCCCTTTTATCTGGGGGTATCTCCAGTTTCCAATTGCAAAGCCATCCATCAGCTGAAGCTGTCACAGCCTAATTATGCATTCTGTGGCGTTCCATTAATTAGGCCTGAATAAACGAGTTAGCTTTTTAAAGAGGCTGCAAAACACATGCAAATAAAAGAATATTTATGGGGAGGGGAGCTGATTTCCCAGTCTCCTGTGTGTTTCATTTCCATTCTCAAGAATCCTTCAATAAGCTGTACGCTAGACAAATGTGTCCCCCCAATACAATTACAGAGGAAACTGCACTTCCACAATATGATAAAACATTGCCAAATTAACACTGTAATTACTTGCCAATTTGTCCTCTCTTTTATACAGTTATAATTACACTGAAGTGTATTAAAAGGAATAAATCAGGTAACTCGCATATTGTTGCTGGTTCAGTGCTCGATGCGGCACTGAGAACAAAGGATGGGCACTGTCACGCGTGAAGTCACCCATGAGGCCGTGAGAGGGGAGCTCATGGAAAAGTGCTCTAGTGGCTTGGCAAGCGAAGAGGGCCACGAGATGCTGGGGGCGCTGCGAGTGACTCGTGGGGAGCAGAGCTAACGCCCAATGAGATACATTTATTAATATATGATCAGAGAGAAGACAGGCGACTGCATGCCATCTGATCTTCCCAGTGGATTCTGGCCCTGCAGCCCCTGTTCCCGGGCACAGTCCCGCTCGCTCACACTCGCTGGGAGAATTTCTGATGACAGAGGGAGGAGCAGGGGCTGGGAGAGGCAGCACCCAGCACCAAGCCAATTAAGGTTCCATAATAACAGTGCCGAGGCCTTTAATGAATACAAAGTGAAAACAATCATAAATGATTCATTGCTTTTCTTTCTAGGACCGCTGGGCTTTCAGAGCACACAGCCAGGTAAATCCTCCTGAGGATCAAACAAATCCCTTCAGCTTTTACGGTGCTCCTCCTCTGCCCTTCCTCCTCCGCCCCCCGCTCTCTTCTTTTCTTTCCCTACACAACATACAGATAAGGGTTTTCCTATTCCATAAAACTACACGGGATGATTTCCAGGGTGACCAAAAGCCTGTGCCCCTCACTCAATAGGGCAGGGAAGGGGGGGGGGCACACTGTGTGCTGGGCTTCCCCTTTTTCTCCTAAGTGGCCTCTCAGAGCAGGTGCCTTTGTGTAAGTGGCCCCATTGGGATACTGATACCCAAGACCCTTTCCATCCACCTCAGCCTGGAGACTTCCTGGCTCTCCTTCAAAGCCCAGCACAGACACTGCCTCCCTTCTTGAGCCCTCCCCTGGCTGCGGCTGCAGCTCCCCTATCCTCTTCCATGGGCCCCTTTGAGCCCAGCACAGCCGTCTCCTCTTCCAGGCTCACTCCACCCCCATCTACAGAAACCTTTACCTGCTTCGTGGAGGACACAAGAACTGTGGGACAAGACCCGTGTCTCGTACCTTCTCTCCCAAGCATCTCTTCCTAGCACAGTACTGAGACGTGGTATGTGACACTCAGCACAGTTTTAGCATGTATGCAGGTACTTCAAAAAGTTCGAAGAAAAATGGAATATGAATCTTTCCGTGAACTTTTTGAAGACCCCGAGTATATGTGAATGAATCTTCCTCTGCTTTTATTAAAAAGCAGAACTACTTCACCTCAAACATAACTTAAAATGCCCCTCCTTCCCCTACCTAGGAGAGGAAAGCCCACCCCCACCCCAACTTCACAACCAAACTTTCCCAGCTGTTTACATCATTACCTGCCTCTCTTCCTCTCCCTGCTCTCAACTCACTCCAACTGGCTTCTGATCAGATGTATGGATCCGACTGTGCTAAGCTCCCCAGTGCCTGCCACATCCCCATCTGCACTATGCTTTCTCCCTCACCGCAGCTCCTGGGAGCACGTGCCCGTCGGCCACTCCCTTCACAGGCTCCACTCTCCTGATGTCCCTTTTCCCGCTCTGACTGCTCCTTCTCCATCTTCGTTGCTGGCACCTTCTCCCCTTTCCCACCTTAAAATGCTGGAGCTCCTCAGGGCTCTGGTCTGGACTTTCTTCTCCTCTCCCCTCTGCACTCTTTCCCTACATCTCCTTCATTCATTCACCATCTCTGTTCCTGCTCATGACTCACCTAAATTTCCACATCCCTCCCAGACTTAATTGATACAGGCTGAGTATCCTTAATCCCCAAATCCAAAATCAGAAACTTTTTGAGCACAGACATGATGCTCAAAGGAAATGTTCATGGAGCAAATTGGAGCATTTTGGATTTCCGATTTTCAGTTAGGAATGCTCAACAGGTAAGAACAATGCAAATATTCGAAAAAAAAAAAAAAAATCCTAAATCTGAAACGCTTCTGGTCCCAAGCATTTCAGATGAGAGTATTCAACCTGTAGGTCCCTTCCTAAGACTCACAAGCATGTTAAGGTATCAAAACTGAATCCAGGAGTTAATGGCCTATGCTGGGTTCTGTGCTGTCGACCTGGCACTACTATCCTGTCTAAGGTGGGTGGCTACATCCCCAGAATTCCCTCTCCTGCGTGGATGACAGGTGGACAGGAGGGGAACATGGGTGGGATTTAGAAGGCAGGAGCTATAGGAGGCCAAAATATGCCATCCTAAAATATGCCTCCCTGGTATAAAGAATATTTTGAGCTGATTATTTTGAGAAACTGCACACACAGGATAAGCTCTGACAACAGAGACGACATTATCAGTTTGTAAGGGAAATTTACATCTATAACGGAAATCTCCATTTGTAAGCGTGTCTCCTCTCTGTAGCAGGAAGAGGATGACAAAATCACTAGAGAAGGATCGATGGAGAAGGTACCAACTTAAATTTGCATATTTAACTTAACTCTTGTTTACCTGCTTTTCCTAGTCCCCTTCCCATAACTGGCCTTCTCCACACCCTTCTTTGTTTCCGTGGACCGAGATATTTAACCTTCTGAAGGAACCATGTGATTGGTGAGCTTTGTTTGCATTAACAAGTCATCTGCAATCAATACCTACATCCTCTTAGATTTCTGCCCCATACCTAGACTATGGCTTGACTGTATTATATGAAATATATTTTATATTTATATAAATAAAATATATAATATTATAATTATAATTATATTATAATATAATTATAATTTATTTTTATATATTCTCTATTATAAAATATATTAAGTATATATATTTATTATAGTATAATAAATATAATATTTTTCTGGTTGCATCAGAAAAGTTGCAACGGGTCCCTCCCTGCTCTAAGGAGTGGAAAACCCCATCTGAAATGTATCCAGTCTGGATTAGGTGTGTGATCATGCCCCTAACACAGCTGGATAAAATGAGAAATCTTCATCTCAGGCTGTGGCTGGCACAGTGATGGTGTTCATGAAGCCGACATCCTGTGCATGGCCTGAGCTGACAGTGGGTTAGGCCGCCAGGGGTTTGGGTTTGCACAGCCAAGATGCGGGAAGCTGAGGTGGAAGGGCCCACAGCTGGGGAGAGGGACTGGGCAGAAACGGAATGTTTGTCTGTCCTGACCCCATGATGCATACGTTAAAACCTAACGCCCAGTGTGATGTTGTTAGGGGGTGAGGCCTTTTGGGAGGTGATGAGATCATGAGGGCTGAGTCCTCATGAATGGGATTAGTGCCCTTATAAAAGAGGCCCGAGATACCCCTCACCCTGTCTACCATGTGAAGACCCAGCAAAAAGGTGCCATCTATGAACCAGAAAGAGAATCCTCACCAGACACCTAATCTGCTGGCACCTTGATCTTCCAGCCTTGAGAACTGTGAGAGATACATTTCTACTGTTTATAGGCCACCCAGTTTATGGTATTTTGTTATAGCAGCCTGAATATACTAAGACAGGCAGCCCCAGGCCTGTGAACAAGAGTGAGATGTCTGTACTGTCATTAACACTGGAAGAAGAGAAGCTGGAGACCAGAATACGATCAGTGTCCAAGAAGAAAAGCTGGAAATGGATGGGTCCCTCCCAAAGGTTCTAGGCAAATCTGTATTTATTTATTCAGATTTAATTTATTCAAATAGAGCTGTGAAAGAGGCTGGGGAGGAGGTAAGCCAAACTGATCTGGGCAAGGACCTGGGTGGACTTCTTTTTCAATTGGATGAGTCAATCTGACATAATGGGCAGGAACGGCTGGGTGGTCCCATGGCATGGGGGCAGGCTGGGACAATCCCACAACCTTTCCAAGAAAAATCCAAGGGAAAATGCTGTGATTGTAGTCACAAGGCAAGGGATGGGAAACTCATTTATCTGGGCCTAAGTGATACAGGAGCACAGATCTACCTGGACGTTGTGCTAAGGGAGCTGTGCGGACTCTGGGTGTACAAGGCAGTGTGGTTATTAAGGAAATATCTTCCACTGCAGATAAAGACCATGCAGTTTCGTTTTTCCCAGGGTGCATAATCAGAAAAGATGATTTCCACCAGTGGGGTTTTATATTACAACACGAAGGAAAAAAGAAGTAGGGGGTATCCCTTCAGTTGATATTAACTGGGCACCTATGTGGGAACCCCGAGATCTGCAAAACCTTTGAGCAGCAGGAAGTTTGAAAGAGATAAAATGGGTGTGAGAGAATGACGCACTTTAATTTAATTCAGGAGATAATAGAGGTTGGGATCCT